TATTTTGTTCTGTTGGACACTGGGTCTCCATGAGTCAGAGCCAACTTGACAGAAACTAACAGCAACAACACAGAAGGCCAGCCCTAACACCCCCAGGTAAGGCACTGGGAAATGATGCTTCCATTATTCGTGAGGTATATGGCTGAAGGACTTAAATGATTTAGGCAAGCACAACAAAGAGGAGTATTTTTAAATGCATCACTTTCACTACGTTTGGTGATGATACAGCTAAGGTCCTTCTCCCTCCAGCCACAAGCATGCTCCCAGCTTTGTCTCCAGGCTATGCAAGGTGTGAAGGAAGCTGGGAAGAATGTGGGATGGCCCCTCTCACTAGGTAGCACATCGAAAGGGAAGACAGGCAAGCCCATGAATCTTACAGTGCAATAGAAAGAGTGCTGGCCTGCTGGGAGCAGTGGCCTTCAGACGTTTTGAAGTGGGTATCAAACTAGGAAATGTATTTTATATCATGACCCAGACACACACTCAACGGAAACCAATACTCCCAGGACACAATACATGTTTACCACATCTGATGCACGAGGACATCTTCAAATTCATTTCTACTCCATTTTTAAACGGAGCTGTTCACCCCTCACTAAATTGATCTCACAGCCCCACCAGTCAGTTGCAATTTGAAGTTCAAAAAATGCTGCCTTAACGTATGCTAAGTAAGTGGAGCTTTATCCCATAGACTCGCTCTGGGGAGCTGCTGGTGGGTCACAGAGAGCAACAACATGACAGGAGGACAGGGACAGGAAGGCCAGCCAGAAGGCGTGTGTGACCGTTCGCAGAATGTTCTGCACTCACAGGGGCTAAAAGGAAAACGTGTGTTTTTCCTCCAGTCAATGCTCTCCTCTGCCTCTAAGGATATCTGCAGCTTGTTTTATAACTTTCCAGTCACCTTCAGTTCTTCAGAGTCCATCTAGTTTAGAATGCTAACCTCGAAACGGATGCAAATCTCATCTCCTTCCCCTTCCCTGGCCACTCCTGCTGTGGCCTGTGGGGCCTGGGCATGGTATAAGCATGGGGTGGGGTAACGGGGTGGTTGCATGTCTACCCACCCAAGCCTAGCACCCGAGCATGGTCAGGACCTGCCTTGAGCAGCAGGACAGGAAGACGACCAGTCCAGGACCCATCTGCCCACCCCATCCATTAAGCCTGCTGCCTTAGCTTAGAGAACCTCAGAAGGCAAGTTCTGAACAGCTTAGATCTGCCCCAGAGAGAAGAGTGGAGAATGGAGAAAATGAGCCAGAATCCAGGTCTTCCAGCACCAGGCTTCGGTATGAAGCATGAGGAACTTCAAGTCAACACAAGCAGCATTCCTGACTGCACCTGGCTCAGTCTCCCTCTCCACAGATGCCCGGCGGCTCCTGGGGTCCAGTGGAGTCCTCACTTCCCTGCACTCCTGATGGCTCCTCCTCTCTGCCCAGCCATCCAGACCTCCCCTGGGTTTGTCCAGCAGCCTCCCCTGACATTCCTGCAGCCAGGGCCAGCAGTGCTGCAGGAACATCACTTGGCCAAGAGCCCAGGCAGCAATGGTCACTGCCTTAGCTGTGTCCTCCACCACAGCATGTCCAACTCTCCCCCTGCAGTGAGACTGATTATGTTTGTGTGTGCCTTTCTAGCCATGGTCTTGTAACTCCCCCCCAGGTGACTGTGTGATAGGGTAGTTGTGGCCCACCAAGGAGACTGGTCAGTTTTGCCTTAAAAGAGAGCCAATTCTAGAGCAGACAGGAGGAGCCCACCACCAAGGAAAGAGAGAACTAGCAGCAGACTGGCAGCAGGAGACAGTGAGATAGGCTTCCCAGCTCATGGAGAGAGAAAGCTGAGTGCCTTTGGGCAGAGACCGAGGGCCAGAGAGAGGCGTGCCTGCAAGCATAGTTCCAGAGTGGCTATCCTGATGGAAGAACTGTATCCTGAGTGTTCTTGAGCCTGAATTGTAACTATTACTTCCCTAATGAACCCCATAATTGTGAGTATGGTCTGTGAGTTCTGTGTGGCCATTCCAATGAATTATCGAGCCCAGCAGAGAGTGCTGTTGAGGGACAGTTGTCAGAATTGGTAGAGATCGCAGAGAGAGGAGGCATGTCTGACCTCCACCTCAGGGGAATCAGCCTTGGGCTATTGATCTTGATTCTCCTCCCCCCTCGGAGGCTAGAGGAGGTCAGATACTGCCTTCAAGCCATTTTTACAGCCCCCTTCTCCAACCCTTATCCTGCCCTCCAAGCGGGCCCTCCTGCCTGAAGACAGCCTTGTTCCTCACCCTCCGGATCCCTTGATACCCCTGCTTTCCTTCAGGACTAACAGGGTTAGCCCCCTTCCCCATTCCAAGAAGCGGGGGCTAACTGTTAGTCCTTTCCCCAGTCTTCTTATTTTACTTAAAAACAGTTAAATTGAGCCTCTTATCTGCCAGACTCTGCTCCAACCCATAACCAAACCCACTGCCGTCAAGTCGATTCCAACTCACAGCAACCCTATAGGAGAGAGTAGAGCTACACCATGGGGTTTCCAAGGCTGTAAATCTTTACAAAAGCAGACTGCCACATCTTTCTTCTGTGGAGCAGCTGCTGGGTTCGAACAACTGACCTTTTGGTTAGCAGCCAAGCACTTTAACCACTGTGCCAACAGGGCTCCCTACCCTGCTCCAAGGGCCTTATGAACATTAACTCCTTTAATTCTCACATCAAGGCAACGAGGCGGGGACTAGTACTGTCCCCACTTAGCAGAGGATGAGACTGAAGCCCAGTGAGCTGAAGCACTGCCCAGGGTCCGGGAGCTGGTACACACTCCTTGGGGATGATGCTGGGTGAGTGAAGATCACCAACGGCCATGGAGCAGCTATGCCAGCCTGGATGTCCAGCTCTGGACCTCTGTGATATCAGTGAGGGAAACACTCCTTGTTTAACCCCAGGCTTTGTGAGGTGTAAGGTACTGGCAACTGCACCTAGTGCTCACTGCCTGAGGATCCATGCCCATTGGATACTCACTGCCTGAGGAGACATGCCCATTGGATACTCACTCCCTGAGGAGACATGCCCATTGGATACTCACTGCCTGAGGAGACATGCCCATTTGCCTACTCTCCCTCAGTCCGAGGGGCCCTGTCCTCCTGCCTGCCAGGCTTCTCCCACACACCTCCCAGGCCTGAATTCTTCTGTCCCTCTCCTCCTGACCTCTGTCCCCACAGCCTTCTGCACAGCCCCTACCATAACCCTAATTGCCCCATGTGTGAATCTCAGAGCCCGGCACAGGGCCTGGCTCAGAATGGGAATGGCTGCACACTTGTGGAATAAACTGGATCCCAGCTCTTTCCACACGTGAGAACGGTCTGCACACTCCGTCTCTGGCCATGATCTTTACTTCTCAATAGCAGTGAGTGCAGCTGACTGCAGCTGCAGCAACATCGAGTTCCCTGCGGCTTTGCAAGCTTGACGCTTCAAAAACACATGATTAGAAAAAAATGCTTCATGCCCTGCTCCTGGGCTGAGGGTAAGGAGGGATGAGTAAACATTCAGAAAGAAAGGAGCCAACTGAGCCCATTGCAGAGCCTACCGAGAAAACCAAACACCAGAGCAGGGGAGATGTAGGCGGGACAATCTAGGTGATCTTGTTTCATGTCATCGACCAGGAGTCATTCTGGCCACCTCTCTAGCCACAAAAGTAGCTGCCTCATCAAAGTAGGAGGTCTGATTGCAGTAAAATAGTCACAGCTGCCAGCCTCTCACAGAACACACACATTTGTGGGACCAAGTGGTTCTCAAGGTTCAATGTTATTTTCATGGACGGAAGGTCTCCGCCCAGTTTGGGAGGCTCTAATGAAGCAGCAGAGGTGTGAGAAATCTATGCAAGAAAACCATCATTCCTGGCAGTCCTCCACCATGTGGCTCCAATGTTGCAACTATTGTCTTGTAGTTGCTGTCTTCCCCCAACAGTTAACTCTGCTTTCTGCGTGTAGCATGGTACTGTTACAGCATTGGCTGCACAGATTCCCAATCCTGGGGACAGACGTGACAGACTTTAGAGATCATCATCCATTTGTCATGCTTTTACGTGAAGTTATATGAATAAAGCAACCCTATCTGAAGTTGATAATTTTAATGCTTACCATTCCAAATACCACTCAATCTATAAATGTCCATAAGCTGGGAATTTGTTTTTAAGACGTGGTATTTTTTAATTTAAAAAAAAATCAAAAAATAACTTACAGATAGGTAAGAAGTGAAATGAATAAAATTAGATTTGATCTTGTCCAGAAATTGATGTTTTCAACAATTATGCAAAAACAACACTGGGTCAGCCAGATGTGATAATAGAGGACATACTGGTGAAAGTGCGGCACGTGGAAAGGAAAGCTAGAGATATGATGCAAAAGAATGCAAAACAAACAAAATAAACAAACCATCTGCAGCTGAGTCAATTCAGGCTCATAGCAACTCTATGTGTGTCAGAGTAGAACTGTGCTCCATAGAGTTTTCATGCCAGGTCTTTCCTCGAGGGGCCTCTGGGTGAGTTTGAACCACCAGCCTCTCAGTTAGCAGCCACATGCTTAATCATATGTGCCACCCAGGGACTCATGCAAAAGAATGCAGGCAGGCCTAGGAAAATAGAGAAACTCTTCAAAAGAGCCATGGGCTGTACAAGGCTGCAAATTTCAACCCTTCACTCTAAATGCCCACAAAAACAAAGTCAAGTGAAGAACTAGTGCCAGGACCTGAATTATTGATCAGTATGGACAGTCCTCCTAGAAAAATACCATCTCCTGCTCTTGCCCCTTGAGTCTATCAACTGAACTCACAAGGAACCATTTCTCGTCTGTGTCCCTGCCAGATTCCCACTAGTGGAATCAGGGTCAGGATCTCGAGTTCATTTACTTGTATCCATCACCGCCCTGTACTCACATCAGGCATGACCCAAGACCCCATACTTGCTCGCTGAGAAGCTACGCTCTACTTGCTGTTCCCACCATCCTGCCGAGAAGGACGGCAGAGCTACGCACATACCTGGACTCGTGTGATGTGCAGATACATGATACACGCCACCAAGAAGCAAAGGCAGAACACAAGCAGGATCAAGGCGACTAGGTTCCTGGGGAGACAGAAGAATACGTGGTTCGCTGCTGTCCAGGGGCCAGGTGTACCCCCTCCTCTCCCACCCAACACATCCCAGAGATCCCCTCCCACGAAGGCTGCCAGCCACCAAGTCTTTGGGGATTTGCCTGAGGCTGCTTCTTATGGAGAGGAGGGCACACTAGGGCTCCCGGCTGAGCAGGGCCCTTCTCATGTCCACCTCACTCCATCCCACCACCACCCACCACCAAGATCTCAGCCCAGCCTGAGAGCTACCAACTTGGCTAGAGGCCCTTTTCCTTCCAGGAAACACTGAAGGTACCCAGACTTCAAGTCCTAGCTGCTGATCACTGTCCTTTTACTGAGCTTTATCTGGGAAGGGCTTTTCTAGGAAAAGCTGACTATGCTGATGCACACACAGGGCCATCAGGCCACTCCCTGTGTGTTCACAGTTGTGTCTGTGTAGGTGGGGGCGGGCGAGGGTGTGTTCACAGCTCCCAAGAGTGGTGTCTTCCTCCTCAGTAGGTGTGGGGTGGCTTATATTTTTTTTCTGGAAACTCGAGGGAGATATTATTCCCCTAAAAAACCAAAAAACTCATTGCCGTCGAGTTGATTCCAACTCTTAGCGATCCTACAGAACAGAGCAGAACTGCCCCACAGGGTTTCCAAGGAGCAGCTGGTGGGTTCGAACTGCTGACCTTTTGGTTGGCAGCTGAACGCTTAACCACTGCACCACCAGGGCTCCAATTTAGTGTTACATCCAGAAGAAAAGTGAGAAGTGGAGATTTTCTGGTGTCTTCCTTACCAAAAAACAAAAACTGCCAAACTCACTTGAGTTAACCTGATGACTAAATATTACTAAAATTAGTATGTATCCTCCCTTTAAAGAGGTACTTCTTCTCATTTGAAGGTTTCTGAAAGTGCCATGCACCTGAACATCAATGTGTCTTTTTGTGGACTGTTTCCTCCTGCAAAAGCTATTATTAAGCCAATGGCGCATCTTGGATTGATGGAGAAACTGAAAATAGCTGGCATCTTAAACGAAAAAAACCTGTTGCCATCAAGTCAATTCTGACTCATATCAACCCTACAGGACAGAGAAGAACTGCCCCATAGAGTTTCTAAGGAGCGCCTGGAGGATTCAAACTGTTGACCCTTTGGTTAGCAGCCATGGCACTTAACCACTACGCCACCAGGGTTTCTGCTGGTGTCTTAGAACTGCGTAATGTGAGCTTAAAAGTGAAAAGTGAGCAGTCACACACTATCCGCCATCAAGGCTTGTAAAACTGTTGAGTAAGTGGAGAATTTGTGTGAGATTGATGTCTTCCCCAAACATTGGGGTGCAACAGCAGCTCAGGTAGAGTAACCATGGGAGACGAACCTCAAACACATCCAACACCAGACACACACACTCCTGACGGCCTTCTTATGTAACCAATTAAAGTGGGGATAGCACTTACTGTGGGATTACGAGAAGGTAGACAAGGCCAAGTAAGGCAGCTAGAACGAGTGAGAGAACAACAGCAGTGGTAAAGTACTCGTCTTGAAGCTTGTGGTACTGTGAGAGAGAGAGACCAAACGCTAAATGGCCACAAACCGCCAAGTGACAAGAACAGTCTCCCAAACACCTGGCACATTGTCCAGGAAGGACACCACCCCTGCCCAAAGAGAAAAGGAGCAATGGTCTGGGATGTCCACCCCACATCCAGTGGGCCTTCGGGATTTTGGCTTACACTTGAGGCCTAGAGTCACTAACCTTTTGTTCTCGTTCAACGTGCTTGTACCTCAGGGTGAAGAAGTTCAAGTCCGCCATCTCCAACTCTGTTTGCCGGGCCTCCAAGAGGCGGCTGATGTATCTGTTGACACGGGTGCCAGGTGTGGTGTAGACAACATTGGTAGAGAAAGATGACCGGTTTCTGAGTTTTTCTGAGGCTGTTCTCAATGCCCTCCGCTGCAGCCACCGTGAAAATAAAGGACTATCGTCAGATCCTCCACTTACCAAAGAAAAGAGCTTTTGCTCTCCCTACAGCCTACATCCTCATCCACTGAGCAGTCTGGGGTCTGGTTTGGGAATCCAGGATGCAATCAAAGCCACACCACTTCTTAAAAGTACGACCTCAGCCAAGTTATTAAAGCACCCTGTTTCCACGTTTGTAGAACAGGAATGAAACAGCATCTACCTGGAAGCACTGTGCTGAGGGCTACAGGACATTACACAGGTGAAAGGCTGGAACAGTGCCCGCACAGAGCAGCCATCTGCTCTCATGAAAAGTCCACTCCATGAGGAGAGAGAGGCCCTGGAGCAATTAGAGCGGGGGTCCAACGGACTTTAACCAAACGCTCACTTCTGATAGTGGCTGAGGGGACAGAGTGTTAATCTCTGCTCCTGCTGCTTCTGCTAAGTCACGTGTGTGGGCCAAGAAAGCATCCTTTTGCCAAAAGAAAAACAGAGTCTTGAAACCACCTGGCATGATCTGATTGGCAGTGCCTTTATAAGCAGGCTCATTAAATATTTCATACATCTGAAGTGAAAAGAAGAAAATTAAAAGATGCTATCTCTTCAGTTCCAGAAAAGATAGTATAAACACACTTCTCCCTTTTTTTGCTGCCGAGTATCGTAGAGCTAAAGACCCTGACGCTAGATATGAAACAAATATGAGGAAAGCATTAAAGGGGGAAAAAAGTAGACAGACCTCGGGACCCGCAGATAAACAGAGCAGTGAGTCCCTCGTGTTCTTTTTGCCCTCATATTTGCTGACTAGAAAGCTGGTAACCCAGAAATGCCAATGGGTGCAGACCAAAAAAAAAAAAAAAAAAAGCCAAGAAGAGCCTGCTCTCTCTAGCCACAGGACCCGGAAAGTGGAAACCTAACAAGACAGAAAACTTTTAGAAAGCTGCCCTACTCTGGCCAAACACCACAGAAAAAACTGTGGCCCTAACCCGAACCCCGCCAGCAAAGGCCAAACGATCCTTAACCAAACCTCATACCTTCTAAAAACACAACTCAAAATGGGTCACAGCTTTAAATATAAACCAAAACGCATTGCTATTGAGTCAATTCCGACTCATAGCGACCCTGCAGTACAGAGTGGAATGGCCCCATGGGGTTTCCAAGGAGCAGCTGGTGGACTTGAACTGCCGACCTTCGGGTTAGCAGCCAAGCTCTTACCCACGACACCACCAGGGCTGCATTAAATATAAAGCATAAAATTACAAAACTTTTAGAAGAAAACACATGCAAATCTTTGGAACTTGGGACGACGTAAACAGTTCTCAGATGTGATGCCAGAAACACAATTCAAAAAAGAAAAATAAATCAAATAAATTGGATTCATCAAAATTTAAAGCTTTTGCTCTGCCAAAGACCTTGTTAAGGGATGAAAAGATAAGCCACAGACTGGGAGATATTTGCAAACTACATATCTGACACATAAATTGTATCTAGAATATATGAAGAACAGAAGACATGAAGGGACATTGCAACAAAGAGAAGAGGACGTACAGAGGGAAAATAAGCACATAAAGAGTCGCTCAACGTCGTTAGCCATCAGGCAAATGCAAATCCACTGCTCACTTATGAGAACCGCTAAAATAAAACACAGTGAGAAGACCAAGTACTGACGAAGATGTGAAGAAACTGGATCTCTCATACAATGCTGGTGGGAAGGTAACATGGTACAGTCACTCTGGAAAATAGTTCAGCAGGTTTTTTTAAGACTAAATATGACCCATTAATCACACTCCTGAACATCTACCCCAGAAATGTAATTTTGCTGAATCATGTGTCTGCCAGAGTGTGAGTGGGCTGTCCTGCAGTGTGGGGCATCTAGCCTGGAGGCAAATGCTGGCAGGGACCTTAATTACTGAGGATAAGGGCTTTGTATTAAGTCATTTTGTGAGGGGAAGCACCTCAGCTGGTCTAGGAGGCTGCAGTAGGAAGGACTGCCTTTAGGCAGCCTGAAGTCCTTCTTGCTGCTCAGAATGGCAAAATGATGAGAGAGTTGGTGGAGGAGATTCCCTCCCTTATAAGATCCTAAAGAACTTCTAGATGTAGAAACTCACCGTGCCTCCATTATACAGTCACCCAGTATGCACTCGGTACCTCTCTTGGGATACTTTTCTAATTATTAAACTATCACTCCTTCAAAGTGACAAAGTGTTAACTACAGTCATCTCTGGGTGGGGGGCTATAGATTTTTTCCTCTTTTCATGCTTTTCTCTATTTTCTGACAACAAACATATATTTCCTTGAAAAACAAATCAGAATTTAGGTTAAAAGAAATCTTCTTGCTCATTTTGAAGTGGAGTTTGGCTCTCTGAGCTTCTTCCTTGCTCTACATGGGAAGGACTGTGGTTTCAGCATAGATGCCGCAGAACCAGACTGCTTGGGTGTGTCACCACTCGGCCACTCAGCAGCTGTTCAGCCTCGAGTGAGTTACTTAACCTCTCTGTGTACCAATTTCCTCATCTGTAAATTGGGAATAACAGTGGCTCCAGGAAGAAAAGCCTGCAGATCTGCTTCCAAAAATCAACCAATGAAAACCCTATAGATCACAAAGGTTTGATCAGCAACCGATCATGAGAATGGTGCAGGGCCAAGCAGTGTCTCGTTTCATTGTGCACGGGGTCACTATCGAGCTGACTCAATGGCAGCAGACAACAACATAGTACTCTTGGGAGGATCAGATACCCGTGTATCTCTAATGACTGGAGCAGTGCCTGGCACAGAGGGTCTCCTCACTGCTGGCTCTCACCACTGGTGACAGCAGTAGGGAGACTCTGCCCTTAATCCATCAAAGCCACACTGAACAGGAAAGTTCCCAGGGATGGTTTAGGAGTGTGTTCCCCAACCCCTAAGTGTCCCCATTCCACCTTGGTGACCCTGGAAAAATCAGATAACTACTCTGACATTCTGTTTCTTCATAGGGAAAAGGAGGAGTCTTCGTAGAGGGGGTTCCTGGAAGTCATACCAGACTTCTAGTGTACTGCCCAGCACACAACGAGAGAGCAGCAGGCGTCACTCTTGTTCACTGGGAGCGCTGTTGGGGAGATCTGCAGAGGAGCCCGGCCGGGTGCACTGGGCAGGCAGCAGAGGCTTGAGATCAGCGTGGTCTGGCCTTTGTTCTTTGCCTCCCTTCCCTCCCGCACTCTGGTTCTCAGGTGTGTCTCACATTCTGTCTTAGATCGACTTTTAGTCTCCTTCCATGTCTGGGACATCACTCCTCTGAGCCTGAGTCCTTAACCCTGGCAGTTCTCAGGCTGAGCTTTTTGACCTGTAGCCTCACCACCACCAAGAACTCATTATAAACACACTTGATCCACCCACCCAGACCTGGGGCATCAGGTCCAAGAGGCACTGCTTTACTATACCCCCTTTTTTGAAAAGAAAACCAGGAAGGCCTAATCTAGCAAAGTTAGACTTTGGGAAGGAACTTAGAGGTTGAATTATGCTTGCCACTGAGAAAGCAAAAGGACTTCAGTCCACATGACAGTATTGCCATGGGACAACTGACACACAGGTCTCAGACTTGAATGTGTAGCAGTGCCTGCTGCTGCTTCCCAACATCCACCACAAGGGCCTTCCTCCCTAGTAATGGAGGCGATGATGCAGCCAACTCCCCGCATTGCCCTTACAGCTGGACGTGGCCATGTGGCTGTGCTCTGTCCAATACGCTGTAAGCAGAGTGCTGTTTGAGGATAATAGGAAACATCTTCCCCATCCCACCTCCTTTCTACTGACTGGAATGTGGATGCAATGTCTGGAGCCCCAGCATTTATCTTGGGCCATGCACTAAGCAGGCCAGAAAAGTAAAACAGAAGAGGTCTGGTCCAAAATGATCGTCAGGTCAGGGGGTTGATAGACAAGAAACCTCCCCTCAGGTCAGGTGCTATAGACATGGAACCTTCCCTCAGGTCAGGGGCGCTGACGGACATGGAACCTCTTCTCAGGTCAGGGGGCTGATAGACAAGGAACCTCCCCTCAGTTCAGGGGGCTGGTAAGACAAGGAACCTCCCCTCAGTTCAGGGGGCTGATAAGACGAGGAACCTCCCCTCAGGTCAAGGGCTGTTAGACATGGAACCTCCCCTCAGGTCAGGGGGGCTGACAGACATGGAACCAAACAATAGTTAAGCTTAACTAGTAAAAAATGTCTGCCTTGAGCATTATGCTCTTTTAAGAACTATCTATATGGGATCAAATTGACAAAAGCAACTTGAAAAATCAGACAGGAACCTTAGGGGGTAGTGAAAAGGAGGGTGAGGATGGTTGCACAGCTCTAAGAATGTAATCAATTTCACTAAACGGTACATGTAGAAACTGTTAAAAATTGGTGTATGTTTTGCTGTGTATATTCTCAACAACAACAAGAAAATAAATAAAATTTAAAAGCAGAAAACCAAAGAGAATTAAGTAAAAAGCAGTTACAATCAGTTTCAATAAGGGTGGACCAAACATATACTGAAATTTTACCCTCATTAAATTCAGACAGCAATCACGGAAATCATGTTTTTCAAAGAATTTCATAGCCACAGTTAAAACAAAAAGATCTGCAGAGTGGGTAGGGAGAAACTCTGGGTGGACCTGAAACAAAGAAAACAGAAGACACAGCACCTATCATATTGGCCAAAAAAACCAAAAACCCATTGCTGTTGAGTCAATTCCAACTCATAGCGACCCTACAGGACAGAGTAGAACTGTCCCATAGGGTTTCCAGTGAGTGGCTGGTGGATTCAAACTGCTGACCTTTTGGTTAGCAACCGAGCTCTTAAGCGCTGTGCCACAGGGCTTCTAGATCATATTGGCAATATTTTTTCAAATGTGATGAAACTCAGGGTGAATGAGGGCTGAGGAAGCAAGCCAGCCCTTAGATATACTGTTGGTGGGAGTGAGCAGGGTAGACACATTTGTTAGAGAGCAATTTGGCAACAGCTACCTTCATGATCTTTTCAATT